AGCTCATTGCATGGAGCAGGAAAGATCCCACTGCTTTTCAGTAAGCAGTCGCTTCCTAGTGTATATTCCTGATCCCTGGTGCTGAATTCGGGATTGCAGGAAAGCAGGCAGGAGGAGAGGGGCACAGGGATGAGGGACCGAGGCTTTATGGCTGAGATAGGAGTGTGATGCTCTAAGCTTCTCCTATGGGGGATCTGAAAATGTGGGTTTCCCCATTTAAGTTGTCCTTAAAGAGGTCAAATGGCTCTTCAGGGTGGGGAAATGTGCTTGGGACCTGCCTGCATCTCCCCATCACCTCCTGCAATCCATAACCCCCCCACAGACCCACTTTGTACTCTTGTACTTATACATTCCCCTTGCTCAGTGGGGCAGCAGGAGGGGGTCAAACCCTTCACCCCCACCCCAATATGCACCCAACACCCTGGTACAAGCAGCACGTTGCTGCTCCATCCCTCCCACTGCTGGTTCGCCCCATCCGGCCATGAGGGATGAGGATGCGGAAGAGAAGGGAGAACCCCCCAAGTTTAGGTGCTGAACCTTGTAACCTGCCAAGCACTGAACGAGCCCCCCCCCACCCCGGGGGATGTCAGTGATTCCTGTTCCCGTGTCACCCATCAAGGCAGGCAGAGCAGATCAAACAGGGAGCATTAAAAATGCAGGGATACAAAGCAGAAACAGGACAGAAACACGCATCCCCCAGCTCCAGCAGAGCCTCGCCGTGCACATGGGTTTGTGTTTCCCTTTGGCAGAGAGGCAAAGAAATGCAGCTCAGTATTGCCCCAATGCCTTTGATATGCCCTAACCACAGCCCCGGCATCTCGTGGGGATGGTGAGGATTCATCCGTGCCAGCTGTTTTGTTCCTTTAGGGGAGGGAATGCCGGCTGCAGTCCCCTATGGCGATGGGAAGGTCCGGGGTATTAAAGGATGAGTCCCTGGAAGTGTCCCTCTGCTTCGCCATCCCCCTGGTCTCGCAGGCACGGATGCACTCGGCTCGGCGATGTCCTTAGCTATGAATCAATGCCGTCCCCTTGATGAATGCTGGCGGGAGGTCAATGGCTCGAGGGCGATGGGCAAAAGCTGTAATTAGCATCCAGGGAAGGGGCTCAGTTGGGGCTGTGGCTCCAGGGCCGGGTGGCACAAACCAGCCCTGCTCTGTGCCAGCACAGCAGCAACCGGGGGGGACCTGCAGCTCCTTTTGGCCAGGAGATGGAGAAATTGGTAACTGGGTTTAGCATCCAAGGCTTAAGAGGTGAGCGGGATGAGGAGCCACCTGCGTGAGACCTGCGGTTAAGGGGTCATGATCTGAGGGCAGGGCAGGGATGGAGGGGAAAGGAGAGCAGGTTTCGGAGCTGGGACACTGACCCCAGTGCCAAACACCCCCATCTAGAGCTCCAAATCTTATCCCAGGACCCCAAATTCCATCCCAGGACCCCCATCCCGAGCTCCAAATCTTATCCCAGGACCCCAAATTCCATCCCAGGACCCCCATCCCCATCCCTAGAACCCCGTCCCCACTTCTGCCTCCCTGTAATACCCCACCACTTCCAGGGCCCCAAACCTTGGGACTGGGTCTCATTTCACACAAGCAGTTGGGAAATGACTCCCGAACACACCAAACCCACCTCTGTGGAACACATCACTGTCCTTAACGACTGCTCTTTTTCAATGAGCTGCCACAGCCCCGAAATAAAGCTGTGCTTCCCTTCCCCGATAAATCACTGCCTTTATTGGGGATTGGAATTGGGAAGAAAAGGAATAAACACGCTGCTCTTCCCCTTCCTTGGGTGCCAGGCGGGTTGGGGCCGTGGTTAAATTATCTCCATTCCATTCAGGCAGATTGTCAACTGTAAATTTGATGGGGAATAGTAAAGCTGATAAATAAACATGCCTCTTTGGTCAGGCATGAATATTGCTGCTGCTGCTCAGATTTATAACCCCCATCTCCCCTCCATTATAGAGCCTTTGGGGAAGTGCTGGCACAGCTTCTCCCTTTGTGCCGCTGAGGTGGGTTAGCTCCCTCTCGTTTAAACAGCAGCATGAACATTGTGTGGGGTTTAATTTGGGAGGACCTCAGCCCCAGCATCATTTGCATCATTGGGGTCATTGACCCGAACCCCCTGAATCCAGCCCAAAGGGGCATTCACTCCCTTTTGCCAGCCTGAGCTGCCCTTTAGCATCATCTCCTGCAGCATCATCTCCTCCAGGGCCTGTTGAGCATAAAACCCACACAGAATTGGGGGAAAAGCAGGGAATTTTGGTGCAGACGCTGTTGCTACGGCAACACAGGGAAACCCATCCAGCCCAGGAGGGAGGATGCTGGATGCTGCAGCCTCTGCCGATGCAGGACCAGGGAGGCAGGAAATCATTCCCGGGGATGAGACAGTGTGGAAAATAGCTGAGTTTGAGTGCAGGAAGATGGGAAGGGGGATCAGGGTCACCCCCAGCCCCATGCTGAGGCCGTGTGAGGTTCCTGCTCCCACCCAGGGATGCTCAGGGCTCTCTGGCGCTGAGGCAAGCATTAAGATCCGCTGCTTTTAGAACCCATGATGGAATCCCTGGGCGCTGCCTGCCTTGCCTGCACATGGCAGTGCTTCCGATGAACCAGGCTAATGGCATTAGAGGCAGGCTATTAAATGTCAAGAGCTTTGCATGCGAAAATGATGCAGAAAGGATGGTTGGCTTCCTGGGGTGGGGAGGTGGGGAGATCAGGTTTATTACTGCGTGCCAGTCCCATGTGGTAAAAATATAGCCTGGAATTTAATAAGTAAAGAGAAGATAAACCATCACCCTTCAGCTCCTGCTTGCAGCAGCCAGTGCACGAGCAGGGATGGAGGCTAAGACATGGTACCCTCCCCATGTGGGGTGCATGTGTCTGCGTGTGCAGCCAGATGTGCAGCACACACTTCAAGGGAGGGAACGATGTCCAACCCCTCCGTGTCATTGCAAATTAAAACCAGATTAAAGAGTTGCGGTGAAATAAAGGCATTGAGGTGCAGGGAGCCTTAAAGCCACAGTGAGGGGACAAACAGGAGAGGTAAGGTGCTGGTGCTGGTGCTCAGGGAGCTGCCTCAGCCCTTTGCTCCCTGCTCTGAAGGGGTTTGTGGAGGTGATGTCCTTGGGCTGTGCAGATGTGGGGGTGCTGGGTGCACCCCCCAACACATCTCCCCTTCCAAAGCTATGGCTCCAAAGCCTGAGCATGTGAAGGGGGTCTATAGAGATGCCAGAGAGATGAACTGGCAGAGATTAGCGATGTTAGACATTAATTGGCTTTTGGGGTTTAATTCCTGCAGGGGCAGAAGGCAACACTGCCCCTTCCTCAGCTGATGCCCATGGGAACAAATCACGCCCAGCAAGCACCTTGATTGCTGCAAACCCAGGGCTATGAAAACCCCAGGGATTTCTCCAACTCCACATAGGAAAAGACCAGCCAAGAGGAAAGGGATTAACAGCACCCAGCCTGCTCTTGCTCCGGAGCTCAGGAGGGATGGGAGGCAATGGGAGCAAAGCCAGCAGTAAATCTCCCCGCTCCCACCACGCAACCCAATAAACCTGTCTTTAAGGCCGCTATAAAGGGAATAAAACTCCCAAGCAGGAGCTGGTTGCGTTGGCAGTGGCTCGCATGCAGAGAGAGCATCAATGCGATGCAAGGCAGGGGGAGAGGAGCTGCTCCTGCAGCCCAGGGGGCTGGGATGGACGGCGGGCGTCGGGCCGGCCCCACAAACACACGGGAAGGCAGAATAGCAACAAGAACTCTCCTTTAATAGCTGGATTGACCTGAGGATTTGTTCTGAGCGAGGGAGGCTCGGTTCCCACTGCCGGGATGGGGCTCCCTGCCTCTCCTGGAAAACCTCCAGCCGTTCGTCAAGGGAAGAGTTCAAAACAGGGCAGATGCTCCCTACAAACCCATTCTCCCACCTCCACGCCAAGGGATGGGGACGGGAGCGCCCCGGCCCTGCCCTCGCTGCCCCACTCGTGCAGTAGAAAAATAGAGCTGATTTAAATCCTCCTTTTTTCCTCCTGGAGTTTTCTTCTCTCTGGGAATATGGACTGGGGGTGGCTCTGGGCTTTCGGCCTGCGCATGGGTTTCTATCGAGATCAAGAGTTAAAAGCCAGTCGTTCAATACCTAACTCTAGAAAAGGCTGCGTACAATATATGGCTTTTGCACCTACATCCAAAGGGGACTTGCAGGCTGGAAGGAGGCGGGGGCGAAGCCAGGGCAGGGATGGGCTGGGAGGGTGGCACAGGGAGGGGACATGGCTGGGGACCACATGCAGCACTGCACAAAGCCAGCCTGGCACGGGGCATCTTCCCGATGCCCACGGGGATCCTTTGGTTTCTCCTGCTCGGCAGCAGGGACCCGTTTTGGGATGGGGTTTAGCCAGAGGGACACCTAAAAGCCCAGCCCCAGGATGTGCAGGGTTTGAAGCAGCTGAGCTGCAGCACGGACCCCACTCGGAGCCCCCAAAAACTGCTCCTGGCTTGTGAGCTTCTGAAGTGAGGACTTGTGGGTCCCATAAGCTCTTCTGTCCAGGGCCAACATCTCCCTCTTGAGCAACACCCACATGCATAGGGGTGGCTGCCACCCCACAAGTGGGGGGTCACGGCCCCCCTCTGGACACTGGGGCTGGAGCAGCAGCACTGTCTGGAACACCAGCCTCATCCCAGGGATTCCCCATCCCCAGGGTGCCCATGGAGCCAAGGGACTGTGCAGGTAGGACGCAGCCACCTCCCCAGCACAGCCTTCCCCATTCCCATAACCTCTGACCAGATCCACGGAGCATCACCCACATGGTACCAACCCCCTGGTCTCTCCTTCCAATGGGATCCATGCAGGGATGAGCTGCATCCTTCCAGGGCTGGCCAATGAGCGAGGGGAGTTTGGGGATGCCCACTGCCATAGGATGCATCAGGCACTGCCCGAGCAATGCAGCATCCCCACCAGCCAGCCCGAGGGGACAAAGCACCCTTTGCATTGCCAAGGAGGGCTGCAGCAGGAGTGGGAATGCCGCAGCATGGAAAGCACCCGCATCCTCTTGGGTCCACATCGGCGTCGCCCAAGCAAGCTCAGCGATGGTTTGGGACCATTCGTCGCTCATGCAGGGAGTTGATCGACAGCTAACAGCAGCAAATGGAGCATTAAAAGAGAAGCCACCCACTGGGTGGAACAGGCAGAGGCCGGGAAGCCCGAGCCTTTCCTTGCCGCGCAGGGTCGGGTACCCCCGCCGCGGTCAGCATCATCTCGGATAGTAATCCTCGGGGACCCCCGAGAGATTGCGGAGCTTCAGAGCCGTGTCCACTGTCCGGATGTAGCCACTGATCACCTTCCTCATCTCGGGGGTGTAAGGGTCGTACTCCAGCTTCCTCAAGCCGGAGCGCTTGAAGTTGCCATCCTTCTGGCCCTCGACGCAGAGCAGCCGGTCCTCGCAGGCAGCGATGCCCAGGAGCCCCACCATCCGCTGCAGCTGCACGAACAGGTCCCGTTTCAGGTCCTCAAAATGCACCACCAGCACCTTCTTGCCGTAGCGCAGCCAGTCCAGGGTGTGGGTTGCCCACCACGGTGCGTAATTCGCCACGAACTCCGGCCACTCTGGAAGGACAGGGTTAATGGCAGTGGGGTGTCCCCCGTGGCCTCCCGCACCCCAGGGCTGAGCCCTTGCTGCTCTCCATGTTTAACCATGCCAAGTGCAAGGTTAAGAGAAGGGATTCAGAGCAGCCCTGCTGAGAAGGACTTGGGGGTGTTGGTGGATGAGAAAATGAACATGAGCCGGCTTCAGTGTGCGCTCGCAGCCCAGAAAGCAACCGTATCCTGGGCTGCATCAGAAGGAGCGTGACCAGGAGGTCGAAGGAGGTGATCCTGCCCCTCTGCTCTGCTCTTGTGAGACCTCACCTGGAGCATTGTGTGCAGTTCTGGTGTCCTCAACATAAAAAGGACATGGAACTGTTGGAACAAGTCCAGAGGAGGCCACGAGGATGATCAGGGGCTGGAGCACCTCCTGTATGAAGACAGGCTGAGGAAGTTGGGGCTGTTCAGCCTGGAGAAGAGAAGCTGCGGGGAGAGCTCAGAGCAGCCTTTCAGTATCTGAAGGGGGCCTATAGGGATGCTGGAGAGGGACTCTTCATTAGGGGCTGGAGTGATAGGACAAGGGGTAACGGTTTCAAACTGAAACAGGGGAAGTTTAGATTGGATCTAAGGAGGAAATTCTTTCCTGTTAGGGTGGTGAGGCACTGGAATGGGTTGCCCAGGGAGGTTGTGAATGCTCCATCCCTGGCAGTGTTCAAGGCCAGGTTGGACAAAGCCTTGGGTGATATGATTTAGCGTAAGGTGTCCCTGCCCATGGCAGGGGGGTTGGAACTGGATGATCTTAAGGTCCTTTCCAACCCAAACTATTCTATGATTCTATCCTCCTCCCTGATTGATCCCCCCATAGCAATCAGGTGGTAAAAGGGGATACCGAAACATCACTAATAAACCACAACTCTCCACGGAAGCGCCGCTCGCATCCATCTTGTGGTTGGTAAAAGCTCTGGGTATCTGCCTCTTCCTCTTGTCCTCCCCACACAAGTGATGCCTGATTAATAGCCTGGCTGTACCTAATTCCCCGCAGAATCATTAAACACAGTATCTGTTTCATTAAACACACACAGGACAATCCACCTTGTGTAATCACAGCACATAAAACTTTGCTTTGGAACCGCTCCAGGGACAGCGTAAAGTTAATGTCATGGAACCAAACAGGGCTTCACGGTGCCCGTGGGCTCCACATGGGGCTGGGAATGGGGGGGGGGGGGGGGGAGGAAAATCTACCCCCCCTTCCCTGCCCCAGCACTAGCATCTGTGGGTGAGGATGAGGATTTTTCCCTAAATTCATCCCAAATTAGCTCCTGGGAGAAGGAAGTGGTTTGGAGATTGGGGTTCCAGGGAGCAAGGGGCTGTCTGCAGGGCAGGACGGGGACGGCAGCCCCGTGCCCCTGTCTTCATTACCCACCTTTAATCACTTTTTGCCCTCTGGATGATGTGTTTAACATCACACCCGGCACTAAATGCAACCCCGACGCAAAGGACCTGTCCGCATTGAGTGTTCACTTCCCACACTGGGAGGAGGGCAGGGTGGGTGCTGATGGTCCCAAGGGACACCTAGTTCCATGCTCAGGGTCCTCCATAAAGCCAGTGAAATGGGGGTCTTTCTTTGCCACCTTCTTGATGCCAAACCGCAGCTCTCAGCATCCCTCCCAGCCCGATAAAACCCTCAAGCGATGGAAAAGCTCCATCTTCCCGGGCAAGCTGTTCCAATGGCGAATTAACCTGACAATTAACCCATCAGCTAATTACACTGTACAGCCTCTGGAAAGAATCCGGTCGTGTATTTTGATGTGGATCCAAATTGGATCACGCAGGGTGAAGGGAAGGGGCCCCTCTGCCTGGCCCGCCCCTTCCCTCAGGGGTATGAGGCATGGAGCAGGCATGGGGGGGATTGGAAGCTCAGGAAGGTTCCCAGGATGAGGGATCCTCATGGATTTCCCCCTCTGCAATCTGCAGTTGTGCTTTGGGATGCAGCAGATGGGGATAAAGCCCAGCTAAAGGCTCGTAACCCACCACAACAGGGGGCAATGCCAACCCAGGGACCTGCCACGGGAGAAAACCCACTGAGGAAGCAGTGGGACGTGTCCCTTCCCTGGTTTTAAGGGATGGGATTGATGGGCAGAGTGGAAGTGGGTCATCTCCGGCGCTGCAAGCGCATGCCGATAACGAAATCCAGGCACATAGCAGCAACAACAGCAAAAGCTCCCCTTAAATAAACTCGGAATTAAGGGTAGCAGATGTTCAATCAAGCTAAATATTTTAACTCTTTCCAATGAAGCCAATCCACAACAGCAATTTGTAAATTGCTGTAATTAACAAGCCTCCATCGTAGGCCTGTGCATGGGAAAGGTAGCGCCTCCGGAGCAGCTGGCGCCCAGAAACAACACCCCGACACCCCCTTGTCCATAGCATCATGGATGCTGTTCTGCTTCTAACCTCTTCTAACCTGCCCAGCCAAGGGGTGGCCTTGAAAAGCTGCCTCAAAGAAGTTTGGGCAGTTTGGGTCCTTGGGCTCCTGCCCATCAATTCCCTCCCCACTGGCACCAGGATGCTGTCAGACTCGTGTCCCTGGGCAATGCCACCTCCTGGCTGCTGCTCTTGTGACCTAACGCAGCACTGACCAGCCAAGCATCCCCAATTCCCCATCCCATCCCACCTCAGCCGTGCCAGGCGACGCTGAGGTTGTGCTACAAGATGGACATGGACCCCCAGCATAAGAAGGATGTGGAGCTGTTGGAGCAAGTCCAGAGGAGGCCATGGGGATGCTGCAAGGGCTGGAGCAGCTCTGCTCTGGAGGCAGGCTGAGAGAGCTGGGCTGGGTCAGCCTGGAGAAGAGAAGGCTCCTGAAGGGGAGACCTGAGAGCAGCTCCAGTGCTCAAAGGGGCTGCAGGAAAGCTGGAGAGGGGCTTGGGACAAGGGCCTGTAGGGACAGGCCAAGGGGAATGGCTTTAACCTGCCAGAGGGAGACTGAGATGAGCTCTGAGGCAGAAGCTCTTCCCTGTGAGGGTGCTGAGGCACTGGAATAGGCTGCCCAAAGCTTTAAGTTCCCTTCAACCCAAACCACTCTGAGATTCTATGATCCTCTAACAGGGACACCCCAAAAAGGTTCCCGTGGGAGCCAAGCCCTACCTTTGCCCTTCCAGTGGGCATGGGCAGCGAAGCCGATGTGCCCCCCGTATTTGCGGTTGAACTCAGCCATGAGCGCCTTGTAGGGGTTTCGGATGAGCAGGATGGCCGAGTCGAAGGATTCGATCTCCTTCTGGCCACTCTCATGGGTTTTGATGCAGATCGTCCTCCCGCTTCGCCAGTGGTCCCTCTCGCCCTTGAACCCTGCCGGGACAGAGCGAGTGAGACGTGGCCAGTGCTGATGGGGATAAAAACCAGGGAAAGGGAATGATGGAGGAACTCCAGGCTGTAAAATACAGCCGGATAAAAGCAGGTGGGGCTTCAGGTAGAATCTGCATCCCCCTCCTGAACGGGGTATAAAGGGGAAAAACCCTCCTGCTCATGGGGCTGCAGATGAGCACAGGGCTGTGGTGATGCCATGGGGGGGTCCCACAGAGGGGACCGCATCCCCTGTGTCTCCAGATGGAGGCTCAGGGCTGAGCTCAGCATCATTCCCATCCCCTTTGTACTCCTGGCAAAGCAGAACCTCCCAGACTAGCCGGGAATGGTGTGTTGGCAGAGCCAAGGGGGAAGATAAGCTGGAAGTGGTTGTATTACAGCAACTAGAGATGTGCTGCCTATGGTGTTAGACCAACAGGGCTTTGGGGTTATCCTGGGTACAGACCCCACCAGCTACATGGGCACCCCAGGTACAGATCCCAGGCAAGGAGGATTTCCTCTTAGAGCTGCAAAAGGAGAAGGAAAAGCAGAAGAAACCTTCAACATCTACAATAAAACTATTGTAAATGGCTATAAAATGGGAAACCGGTGTTTTCCCTCCCCCTTGCAGTATGGTGGGTTATTAGGAGGAGATGGTTTCGGCCTCTAAAAGCTTCATGCCTGCCTCGAGCTTTGTTTTTGGCTTTAAACTCATCTTGATGCTTGGTCCCATCACCCTTTTCTTGGGGTAAAAACCAAAAGAATTGCCTCATTTGCCTGGATCAGGGTCACCCCAGTCCCTCTTCTAGAAAATTCCAACCCCCACAGTGGGTTACAAACCACCAGCATCATGGAGAACCCCCAAACTGGCCCCTGCCAAGGTTAGTGGGCATCACAGGGAGGTTATGGACAGTGCACAAACGACATCAGTGGCCCTCCGATACCCTTTGTACCAGGACACACGCATCCCAAACCATCCCATGGAGCAGCATCAGTGGTACCCGGCTCCATATGGACCCAAGGGATGGCACCAGGACCTTCTCCCAGCTCAGGTGGGACCGGTGCACCCCCGGCAGCAACATCCCCCTCACCTTTGTTGTAGAGAGACCCATCGAAGTAGTAGCTGCCCGTGTAGAAGCCGGTGGCCAGCTCGATGAGGTGCCGTGCCCAAGTGTTGCCGGCGCCAGGGAAGCTGGCCAGGGCCACCAACTGCTTGGCACGGGTCGGGAGAAACCTCCTGTCCATGCAGCGGTTGTCTGCAGCGGGAACAGGCACGTCAGGGGTGGGTAAACATCATGGATAAGCAACGTGCTTATCCCACAGAGATATCCTGCTTCCTTACGGCTCCTGCCTCCTGGGAAGATGCTGGGGCGGATGGGAGCAGGTGGGAAGCTATAGGGAAAGGCGTCCTGCCTAAAGCACGTGGGATGCTCCTGAAGACCCCAAAAAAGCCTTAAGCAGCCCAAAAAGTCCTAAAGAAGAGAGCAGGAGGTGCTCTGCCCTTACCAGCTGCTTGCTGCCTGCGTGATTAGGGAAGAGCGAGTAACACGGGTGCGTTTGCCAAGCAATATTCCTGCTTTTTATATCAACGAATGCACAAGTGTTTCCAGCATGGCCTCGGATGCCAAAGCAGGGATCGTGTTGAGACTGAGCTGCTCTGAAGCAAAACCACCCGAATTTGGGTCCTCACTTGCTCCTTTCCTCTCCCAGCAACAGGTTTCCCCTTGCTCTGTGCTTCCCTGTTCCTACTGGTCCCACTGCCTGCAGGGTAGTGCCCATTCTACACAGCTATGTATTCTTATCCATAGGAACCCATTCCACACAGCTTCCCAAGGCCTTTCAGCCTGGTCACAGCTCTTTACCCCCCATGTGTTTCCATGGAGCTTGTCCCTTTGTCCAGCAAAGCCCCAGTGTGCTCAGCACCGGCCGCAGGCTCCGGCATGCCGGGTACCACCAGCGACAAGGAGGGACAAGCACCGGCAAGGAGGGATGCTGCCGGAGGCAGATGGCAAAGTGCTGTACCCTGCAGCTGAGTCAGGCAGTAATTAAAGCTGTTTGTTCAGGGGAGGATTGATTTCCCAGGAAATTAAAATAAATGCTAATCCTTAATGAAAGCCAAACGGATGCCGCAAGCCCGCGCTCCCTTTCTGTCGGCATTCCTGGGAAAGGGGATGGAAAACTGGTGCCAGCCTCCATACCGGAGCGATCCCTGCGGGGCGGGTGAGCCCGGCACCACCTCACCTTGCACTTGGGTCTGGTACACGAGGAGGTACTCGGAGGTGCCGCAGCTCTCGAACTCCTCTCCGGCGCATCTCTGGGCGCAGAGCTGCTCGTCCTCGCGCTCGTGCAGCGTGAAGAGCGTGGTGGGGAAGCCGCAGCGGCACAAGGTCCCGGCCAGTGCTGACAGCGGGTACTCCTGCGGGGATGGGCAGAGGGAGGGCAGCCAGAAGCATCCTCATCCCCTGCAGCACACCCTTCCTCTGCCCCCATCTGCGCTGCCCCGCAGCCAGGGGTGGCTTGCTGCATCCTTTGAAAGGTTGCTGCATCCTTTGAACTGGCTGTGGCATCCTTTGAACTGGCTGCTGCATCCTTTGAAAGGTTGCTGCATCCTTTGAAAGGTTGCTGCATCCTTTGAACTGGCTGCTGCATCCTTTGAACTGGTTGCTGCATCCTTTGAACTGGTTGCTGCATCCTTTGAACTGGTTGCTGCATCCTTTGAACTGGCTGCTGCATCCTTTGAACTGGTTGCTGCATCCTTTGAACTGGCTGCTGCATCCTTTGAAAGGTTGCTGCAACCTTTGAACTGGCTGCTGCATCCTTTGAAAGGTTGCTGCATCCTTTGAACTGGCTGCTGCATCCTTTGAAAGGTTGCTGCATCCTTTGAACTGCTGCTGCATCCTTTGAACTGGCTGCTGCATCCTTTGAACTGGCTGCTGCATCCTTCAAGATGACTGCAGCACCCTTGCACAAGCAGCTCATTGCAGACCCCCGAAAGCACCTGAGCCCAGCTTTCCCAAGGCACTGGTGGAGGCACACCGTCCATGAGTTTCCCACTCACACTGAGGTTACTAAGAGCCATCAGACAGCCCCATGGAAGCCTCGCTGATGTTTCCAAGCCCATTTGGCAGCTGGCAGGTGATTTACCACCGGCAATGCCGGTTAATTGAGGGGCTCTGGTTATTTACACCTCTCTGTGCTGAGCTCTCCCAGCAGCGATGGGAAAGTGGAGCCAATGATGGAGCAGCCGCTTGTGTTTAACTGCTGTGATGGTTTATCCCATCAATAGGCAAAAATTCCATCAAAGAGGCAGCAAAGGGAGGACATGAACATCCTTCACCTGACAATTTAGCTAATTCTAATTAATAAACACTCCAGCAATGACCACTGGCAGCCTTTCCCCTCCCTGCTTATGGCACCGCACCGCAGGAGCAAAGTGCACTGCAGCATCCCTGGAGCAGAGCAGGACCCCATGATGCTCCTGCCTGCTGAGGGGCAGAGCCATGGGGAGCAGGCAGGGCAGGCAGCGGGTGCTGCCCCTGCAGGGACCTTCAGTCCAGTCCCTCCCCATGGCAGGGACACAGACAACCGATCTGATCCTCTGTAATCTGCATATACATAATTACGGCACTAAATCAGATTAAAAGTCACGCAGCATGGCCCTTTCAGATGACTATTTAGATGATTAAGCTTTTGACCTGCACCCTTGGTACCTTCTCAGTGCAGAAGTCCACGCACTTGTCCACTGACATGTTCAGCATGAGCTGGCTGACGGGCAGGGCGATGGAGACGTTGTCTGGCTGGCGGAAGCACCCCCGAAATATCGCGCTGCCGTCTGCAAGGGAGAAGGACCAGGGGCTCACTGAGAGCGATGCTGGTCCAGCCACGAGGCTGCACCACGAAAGCGATGCCGCTGCCACCCTGTGCGCCCCGGTGTCCCCATCCCCATCCTGTCAATCATCCTGCACATCCTCACCATCAGCACAGCGCTGCTTTCCCCCAGCTCTCATCACCCTCTGGCTGTGACTCAACACTTGCTAACAAGGCTGCTTACAGTGCAAAACCAGAGAGAAAGCCCCGGCAGCAAAGTCGGGTTTATTCATTCCTCCCTATTTTTATCACCTCGGTGATCCCAGGCTGCAGGAGGGATGGAGCCAACAGGGAGAGCAGGGCTGGGTCTGGCCTCATCCACCCTGCACTGGTGCCCTGAGGGTTCCCATCCTGAATCCTCACCCATCACTGCATTTACCCAGGCACCCTCAACCTCTCTCCTCTACTACTTCACTGCGTGCCTACTGGTGGGAGCTCTGAACTCCTTCCCAGTTGCTTGGGAATGAGGGAAGAAAGGCAGCAAATGTGGGTAATTATAACGCTGCCTAATTGGGAGCCAAATGAGTGCACTGGAGGGTGGAAAGCACCCTCGGGTCCCCCGGCGCTCCCGCGCTCCAGCATCCTTCATCCCGCAGCCAGCTCTGCCGGCAGCACCCACTGAACACAATGATGGTCCATCCGGGAAGCGCTCTTCATCCAAAGTCCCCCCAAACGCCCTGAAAACCACCTTCAAAACCACCTCTCTCAAGCCACAACCTGGCTCACACCGCACAGATTCCAGGGCTGTGCAGGGAGCTGCATCCATGGCTCCCACTTACATCTCCGGGCGGACTCCTGGGCCAGCTCCAGGCGATAGATGGAGAGGCGATTGACCCCACCGCACGTGTTGCTCCTCTCCCCCTTGCATTCCATGTTGCACTCAGACTCGCTGGTGTTGGACGCCTGGATCTTGTGCCCACAGTAGCACTCGGCACCGAATTCCAGCCCTGCATAGAGGTATCCCCTGGGAAGAGGGAGATGAGGGGTGCTCAGCACATCCCCAGGCAGCCCCCTGGAGCCATGGGGTTTTGCAGGAGCATCCCTGCTGCAGCAGGCTCACACTTTGATCTGGAAACAGCATTGAATCCCAAGGATGCTTTGTTGGATTAGATGATCATTTTAGGTCCATTCCTACTGGAAATATTCTTTTCTATCCCATCCTATTCTAATCCCATCCTCTTCTGCTCTGTCCTATCCTATTCTGCTGGCACAGACCATGGTAAGCGCACATCCTGCATCTAACACTGGGGAAAGGAGAAAGCTCCTGCAGCAAGGAATCCGTGTGTCTCCCCAGGTGCTCATGGACTCCCTGTGCCAGCAGAGGAGGCTGTTTTCGGTGGGGGCCACTGCTTTGGTGGATGGAAGTGCTCGAGGATGCCCCAGCACCAAACCGGAGCCCTGACAGTGCCCTTCCCATGTGTGTGGGGATCGATGGAGACGTGGTGCCTGTCCTACCGCTCGGCACAGTTGTCCTGGCAACGGAAGACTGTCATCTTCTTGTAGTCAAAGAAGGACATGCCGCGCAGCGTTCGCCGCGCGAGTGTTGTCCACATAGCAGCCGATGTATCTTGCTGGGGACAGAGGAGAGGAGAGGAGAGGGGGGTAAGAGCCAGCCAGGGATGAGCCCCCTAATCCCCACCCTCCTCTTTGGATTCTTCCCTAATGGGGATGCACAGCTTGGCTTGCTTTTAGAAACACGAGCTCTGGGTGCAACAGGCCCCTGTAAGGGCTACAGACACCCACTATGGATAGAAAGGATGCTGTGATCTGCACCACGCTTCTCCTCTCTGTCCATCTTCCTTCCCAGCAGCTTCGATGCTGAGCAAAGTGGCTCCAAAAAGAGATCAGTTACATGGTAAAATAACCCATCTCCTCCACTCTGCCATGGCAGCAACACAGGATGGAGAAATACAGTCGGGGTAGGAGCAGAGGTGAGGGCCCTGCTCTGCTCAAGAGTGAAGCGATGGCTCTAGGCAAGCACGGAGACTACCCCGTGTCTCTCCTTCTATCTCCATGTCTCCATCACACACCAGATCATAACAGTGGAGCCTCTCCCCATGTGCCCCTTCAATACCAAACCACACTATGGGGCAAAACCTCTCACCTCCCGCTTGCATTTTGCATCTGGGGGGGTCCCTGACCCAACTTCCATGCGTACACCCCATCGATGGCGTGCCCCAAACGTGCTCCCCACCACCGGCACTGCAAACCACCACCCCTAAGCCAGCCTGGGGGCAAGGGGAGGAGGAGGAACTTGAAGCCCCACAGAGTCACAGCTCATTGCTCTCAATTACTCTCAGCATAAGGTGGCATTTCCACCACGATGAGCAGGTTTGTGCAGGTCAGCTCATCTCGGCCCCGACGGATCCAAGCGCTGCGGGATCACTCCAGTCATCGGCACGGGGCTGGTGACTGATGTGCATTACCTTCAGCCCACTGCGCTTGACATATGCGTGCTGCGACTTATTGGGAAGGCAACTGGAATAATTAGGGAGATACGAGGACAGAAGTGAAGGAGGAGTGAGGAGGGGGAGCTGCTGGGGTGGGTTAGGCACTGACTGCTGAGCAGCGAGAGGAGACATCCAGGAGAGGACCAGAGATGGATGTGGCAGAGAGGAAGCGATTGCTGGGCATTGCCAAGGGCTGGTGCTTGCTCCCCAGGGTTCACCATCCAAAATGACCCCTGATCTGAGGCAGGAGATGCACCTTTGCATGGGGATGTGGAGGAGCTGAAGCCGTTCCCTGGCAGACAGGGCTGCCCTTGACTGTGCCTTAGCCTGACCTTGGGGCTCCAGCAGTGCAGGCAGGAGGAGGAGGAGAAGGGAGGCTTCATCACCCTGTGAAGCCAGAGCTGCACATCACACTAAACCAGAGCTGAGTTCGGAAGCAGTATTCCCTGCGGAATGACTTCACGTGGCAAAGCCTCCACAGCCGCCTTGTTAATCCGGTCCCTGCTTAATTACCAGCATCGTTAAAACCTGCCTGCTCCTGCATGACTGCCCAGGGAAGCAGGAGGGCACTTCGGAGGGGAGCAGGGCTCAGCACCCATCCCTGAGGCTCTGCCAGCCCCATGGGCACGCCGGGTGCATGGAGCTCGGGGGAATTCCTTAGGGAATTCCTCTGCACCATCTGCCTGATGCTCGCGTGGTGGCACCGCATCCCCTGCAGCTGCCAGGTCTGCGCTGGCTCCCATCACCCACTGAGCTGCCCACACTGAGCCTTCCCAGCAGGAGTCAGCAGGGACAAAGATGATGCTCCCAGACAAACTATGAGGCAGTGATGCCCGAGCCCAGCATCCCTTCCCCATCCCTTGCAGCTCGCACTGGGGCTGGGCATACAGAGGGGAGGTGGTGCTGGTGGAGGTTGATCGTGGTGGACACGTCACATATGGCTGGGGATAGGAGCACTGCTTGGGGTTCTCATGGTGACTGACAGCTCGGGCTCATGAACACAGCTGGTGAGGAGTCACTAAACGTCAATTTGTATTAATGGAGCAAAGCAGCCTCAGAACAACCCCCCCCCCCCCCCCCCCCCCCCCCGGGGACCCTCGGCATGGGGGCACAGCAGGAAACCCGCTTTCATCTCGTTTTAGCATGAGAAAGTCCCTTAAGCACCACAAACCAGTCTTCCTCCCTGCTTCCAAGCCTGGGCCATGCATCTTGCCTGGGGGGAACATCAGCACCAACCTGCCATGGGGCTGCTGGTTGAGGATGAGCCCCCCCCCCCGTGCACTGGGACCAAGCCTGGCTCAGTGTGGTGACCCCCCATGGCACCCCCAATTTGCCACAGGATTGGGGGGTTCCCTCCTTCTCCCTGAGCCATACACCCCCTGCTCCATCAAGGGTCCAGGGAACTGCAGCTCCCAGCCTGGATGCCCAAGGAATTGCCTGTGCCAAGCCCCATGGGGAAGCTCCAGAGCAATGGACACCAGGGTTCCTCAGGAGACGGCATCCTCCCACCAGAGACTTCACCCCCCCTTGGGCTCAGGAGAGGGGAATGAGCAGAGGCAGGCAGTGAAGAGCCCTGGCAGCATCCCAACCCCTTTCCAGCAGCTCCTGCTCCCAGTTCCTTCCTGAGCCAGCACAGAGGGGATGCAGGGTGCGTTTGGGTGAGGTTCCCTGGCACTGGGTGCTTGTGGGTACCAGGGAGGGAGGCGATGAGCTGAATACCCACTGGGATGCAGAAGCCCTGATGGGCAGCTCTGAGCCACCCGAGTTCTGCTGCCTTCAGGATAAATGAATGTCATCTTAGAAATCAATGAGAACTCCCACGTTCGCTCATCCTTGCTCATTAATAACAGCCCTGCTCAGGGATTAAGGCAGGGATCTCCTGGCTTGAAAAGCCACAGCCCAGCCCTGCCTGCACATCACTGCCCACAAGGCAATCGCAGCCAGTCCCTGCCTGATCCCCCCGCAACGCAAAGAGGCCCCAGATCTGGGGTTAGCGGTCACTGGGGCCAACTGAATTCAACCGCAGTTTGGCCTATGGCACTGCCAAGGGATGGAATGAAGACAGGGTCTTCCAGCTGGCACCCCCAAAAGTGCCCGTCCCAGCAAGGTGCACCTCAAAGCTTGATCATAGAATCATAGCATAGGGTTGGAAAGAACCTTAAGATCATCCAGTTCCAACCCCCTGCCATGGGCAGGGACACAAGTGGGAAAGAAAACCAAAGGGGGATTATTGCCATTGGGGAAAGGAGGAAGGAGGGGAAGGAGAGAGAACAAGATCTTCCTGGGAACATCCTCTGGACCAGCGGTCTCCAAAGCGGGGCTGCGCCCCAGGGGATGCGCAGGGCAGCCCATGGGATGCGGGAAGAAAATCCCAGTGCTCGAGTAGCATGTGCATTTAGTGCATAAGTAAATACATACACATTTATGGGGGCACCTGCTCAGAAATTCATTCCTAGGGGTGCACAACCAAACTGACTGGAGACCACGGCCCCAGTGCATGAGGCTTTCCCTGGGAGAGGCCAGGAGGGACCAGGCACCTCAAGACCAGGCTGGATGGGAGCCTGATCTAGTGGAAGGTATCCCTGCCCATGGCAGGGGTTGGAACTGGATGAGCTTTAAGGTCCCTTCCAACCCAAACCATTCCATGGCTCTATGGCTCTGTGAGCCCCTCACAGCGCATCCCCAGCCCTTACCTCTGTCCTCCTCCTTCTCACGGCCGCTCCTGCTCCTGATCGCGCGGCTCCGGGCGCTGCCGTAGTCTCCGCCTTTGCTCCTCTCCACGGGCTCCTTGGAGGTGCTTTTGAACCAGGGTCCGTGCCTCCGGCCCCGCTCCGGCACCGTCACCGCCGCCTTGAAGCCGCGGCTGAGCTGCATCACCCCCAGGTAGGGCAGCCCCGGCCCCTCGCCGGTCCCGGTGCCGCGCTGGTTCCCGGTCACCGTGGACTCCCCGGCAAAGCCTGAATGCAGGAAAACCAAGCTCCCGGCTGCCAAATAGAGAGCCAGCAGCGTGAAGAACCGCACGGGCTTCCGCCGAAAGTACCGCTGGAGTTTTACCAGCAACTTGGCCATAGCGTCTTCATCCCTCCCGCGGGGAGCTGCTCTCCGGCCACAGGGATGCTCCAAAGGAGGGGTTTGACCCTCCTTGGGTTGGCCTTGGCTCCTTGGTTGCCCCGAAAGCGTTGGTTGCAGGGTGAGTTATTGCCCAGCCCTACAGGGGCTGGGGAAGGCGGTGAGGGTGGATTTCCAGTCCCCTCTTGGGGCGCACAGAGGGGTTCTTCGGCGTTGTCCTAGGTTTATTCTCTGCCGGGCAAAGCCCCCCGGCTGTGCCCCCGGGCTGCGGCTGACAGAGGGATCATGTTAAGGGAATGGAGGGTTTGAAGGGGGTTTGAAAGCCGATCAGCTCCTCGCCCGCTCGCCGCCGTTCCGCTCGGCAGCACAGCACCGGCTCCAGCGAGCATCTCCCTAATGGAAACGGCACCGGAGCCCTTTCAGACGAAGAATGGAAAGTCCCTGGACGCGCCCCGGGGCCGGAGATGCTGACTGGGACCCTTTGTCTGAGGAAGCCCCATTCATCTCACTCCCAGGGCAAGAAACCTCCACCTGCAAGGCAAAGGGAAAGGTGCACTTGGGAAAGCACCGCAGGATCGCAGTGCCCGTCCCTCCATGGGGTGAGGAAGGGCCTGCAGGGACAGGACAAGGGGAATGGCTTTAACCTGCCAGAGGGGAGGCTGAGATGAGCTCTCAGGCAGAAGCTCTTCCCTGGGAGGGTGCTGAGGCGCTGGCACAGGGTGCCCAGAGAAGCTGTGGCTGCCCCATCCCTGGCAGTGTTCAAGGCCACAGGGGCTTGGAGCAAGCTGCTCCAGTGGAAGGGGTCCCTGGATGGGCTTTAAGGTCCCTTCCAACCCAAACCAGGCTGGGATTCTATGACGAGCTGTGCACACGCACATAGGGCTGGAGCCCCCACAGAAGCACATTGTCCCCATGCCCATCCCCAGCATGGCTCTCCCATGGACCAGGATCTTCTCCCTCGGACCAGGATCTTCTCCCTTGGGTGGATTCTTCTCCTCCAAACCCTCCAGCTACGGAGGACCACCACCACCACCCCAGGTTACTTGGCAGGGTTGGCTTCACAGTGGCAGATGCCACTCTGGCACATCAGTGGGGATAGGGGGATAGCCCTGTGCTTGGGATGTGCTGCCTGTCACGGACTCATCTTATTTTAGGAAAGGAGAGGAAAATAAATGGGAAGACAAAGTGCCATTCGTTTAATGGCCTCCATGTTCCTGCCATCTGTCTTCAGTTGATTAAATAAAAAATATTGGTGGAACATATGGCATGAATTATACATAAATATTTTAATCGGAGCTCCCGGAGCAGGTATCCAGGCACCTCTGACTCCACCAGGTGAGCTCCTGTGGAGCTGAAGACAGGCTGCATGGAGCGCATCACTGTGGGGTAACAACCCCCTGGGCTCCCCCAAATACCCCCTCAACCTGAGTAAAGGCTGAGTAAGCTCGGAGCAGCAGCCAAGCCAGGAGACCGATTGCTATTCAGGCTCTTGCATCTGCAGGCACCTCTATGGGTGCAGGTCCAGCCCCCTCTGCTATGGGTGAGCATCCCCCAGCCCCATGATCCCATGGAGCTGTTGGTGTTTGGCTGCTCTCCCGGGCTCCCTGGCCAGCAGCCAGTGGGGAATGGGATGCTCCGTGGGAACTTAGAGCTTCCCATCCTGTTCTGTGCTTCGACCTACCCTTCCTGGGACTTTATATGGGCAATGGATATGGAGTGGTTTGGGATGTAAATGGGGTATCCCAGGGCTCAATCTGGTGCCCAGCATCCCTGCTGTCACCCACCCTCCTCCCTGCCTGGGCTTGGTCCTGCCACACTATGGCAAGGAAGCGCAGCATATAAAGAAGGGGCTTAAATTACTATCATTAAGCCATCTGGAGCTCATCCTTCTCCATCATGAACTGCGGAGTCGCAGGTCAATTACTGCACATTTGCATATATTCCATTAATGCTTCTGCTAATTGTCTGGAGCAGATAATGCGCTCTGCTTACAGCTCCCTCGCTGGCTACGGCTTCCAAACAGCAAACAGAGCCGGCACCAACGCTCCCCAGATAGGCAGAGGCTTGGGATACTGGGAGGCTAACTGGGGGGGGGGCTCACTCCGCTGTTGGCCATGGGGAATGGCAGCAGCACCCCACAATGCTGCTCCATGCACCCCACCAGCCCCATCCCTCAGGAGGGATCCATCCCCCCTTGGTGCAGCAACTTTGGGGTGGAAGGAGCAGCAGGGCAGATGCTGTTGGTCCCCATCCTCACCCCATCCTGCTCCCCCCTGTGATGAGGCTCTGCCTCCCACAGCTCCCCACGCCTGCAGCACGGCAGGAGACAGTAGTGACACACTTTACCGAAGCTAATGGTGACATTAATCAGCCAGAGCAGTGATTAATAATGGTGACATTAAATCACGGTGCAGTGGGCAGCGTGGTAAGACCGGGCTTTCATGGGCTGCTGCGGGAGGCCACGTACAAAGGCTGCTGTAGGAAAAACCACTGCAGGCAGGAGCCACATCCACTGCCTTTTGCTGGGACAGCCAGGGCATGGAGGGGATTTATTCCCCAGCCCTCACCTGGTTACTACCCGCTTGCCCAGCCACTCCAGGCTGGCAGTGGGGCTCTGCTCCCAGGCATCCCCCCCTCCAGGCTCCCCTGGAACCCTTTGGCATTCAGAGCCAAGCAAAGGGCTTTCCCAGGCACTTCACACCATCACAAGCAGGCAGCGGGTCCAGCTGGGATTGGGGAATAGGGAGGGCTGATCCTCATCTACCTCCATGGCCATGCTCCTGCCGGGAGCCGAAACACCCCAATAGCGGGATGCTGAGCATCCTTCGGCACCCAGCCTCCCTCTGCAGAGGCAGCAGTACCGAGGCAGGTGAGCTCATCAGGGCTCTGCAACTGCTTGCCCTGCAGGCCATAGGAATCCTCATTAATGTAAGGTTTTTCTCCCTCCCCAATGCATAGGGAGGTGGGCAGAGGTCCCCAGGGGACTCCACGAGCATCTCTGCGACCGCTTGTCACCAGGCTGACCGAAGCAGAGATAAATTATACATCTGGGTCTTGTCTCCAAATTGCTCTGCAATTATTGAGCACCAAGGTTCAGCTGCCTTCAAGCACCACCTCACATCTGACCACGGCAAAACACACTGAAGGGCTCACGTGGCTCCCCCGGCACAGGAGAACAATCAGCCCATTAAAAACAGCAAATTAACGAACACAAGAGTTCCATTAGAAGGAGAAGGCGACCGAACTATCCGGTTTCATCACATCATTAGCATTCCTTATCAGAGGGACAGGGAAAGAATAGGGCTTTAAAATACAGAGGGATGGGATGGAGTCTAATGACGGCAAGCTCAGGGGCCCCTGCTCCATCGTGCTGGCACTAACCTAGGTCCCACATGGCAGCCCCAGCATGGGGGGAGAATGGTCCTATACCCCGCTGAGCACCTTTGGGTGACCTGGAAACGCAGCAGTGTGCAGAACCCAGTGCATGGCATGCAATATCCAGTGTATTGTGTGCTCTTTAGACCTGCTGTCACCCAAAGCCACCCACTTTGGTGCAGGGACCACAGAAAGCCCCACGTCCCTCCATCCCACCCTTGGTACTGCAAGGGGGCTGCTGCCATCGCAAAGCAGCTCCTGCGCCAACCAGTGACACCAGTATGAGCACCCAGGGACACTGGGCAGCCTTGGTGCTGGCTTATCTTGACCCTTCAGCTTCCATCCTACTGCAGCAGGAGCTTGGCACTGCTGCCTGAGCAGAAGCTGGGCAATTTGAGCTCCCAGGTAAAGCTGCCGTCATCTTCTTCAGCCCCATGCAAATGGATTTTCACCCGTTCTCACTCCTTAAAACTGAAGCAGCAAATGAGCTGCATCGAGCCGAGTTTAAATACTGCTGGGAACGAAGCTGAGCTAAACTGGGACACTGAGAATCGAGGTTTCCATCGCAGCAGGGAATGTCTGGACCATCTGATGCGTCTCCCCTCGAGCACCCAGCACGCATGGACCAGGGCGAGCCCAGCATGCTGAGCAGTCCGTCTGCCTTTCAGTGGAAGCAAAGCTGATTTCTTCAGCCACTCCCTGACTTCATTTGGCTGAGAAACGGGTTTGAGCACACCCTGCGCTGAGGAAAGGTTGGGGTGTGCTCAAAACCAGCTGACTCAGCAGCTTTTGGGTGCTGCAGCGAGCAGTGGCCGCTCCATCCCTGCCCAGGCCCCCCTGAGGAGCTTTTAAATCCCTTCCATAGGCCAAGCCACCAAGATATGCAAAGGGAAAAAAGCTCTTATTTGGCATTTATTGGCCTGATTTGTAAACCCAGAGCAGGACCTGCCCATCTGCTGATGGGTTGCTGTGCAGGATTTCCAAGCTCGTTGCAGGCTTTGTAAATCTTCCTCCTTGCTGGGGATGGATGGAAGGGTTTAGGCTGGGATTAAGTGCCTGGATTTCACATTTATGGGCAAAAAAACCTGATTTTTAAATATTCTGGAGAAGATTTATTGACAGTCTCAGCACTAGCCCAGGGTGAGGGGGAAGCACAACCTGAAGCCCAGTTTAGGCACAAGGCTCTGAGCTCATGAGGTATCACAGATCCTTTCATCCAGAGGGACCAGTCTGCCTAGGATTAATTCATTAGCATCTTTAAAAGGCCTCACTGTCCACAGAAACAGGGCCATGCTAATTGCACAGCCTCCCTGGAGGATGAGAGCCCATCTGAGGGCGTGCACCAGCCCTGTTCTGGTGCTGGGTTATAAATAACTGGATGCTGCCCCAGGTTATTTCAATGACCAGCCACTGCCCTGCAGCAAAGCCCAGGGCCTGCACCATGTCCCATAAGGGCTATTTCATTTCACCAAGCTGATTTAAGCAACTTGTAACCCCATTTTTTAATATGGCATTTGCTGTTGAGCTACCTGAGGTTGCAGATTCCCATAAACGCCCCAGACCCCCTCCCAAGGGATGCTGAGAGCTGCTCAAGAGACGCTGGTCCTCACCCAGGTGATGCTGATCCCCATAGCCACCTATAGCAGAGGGGCAGGGATCTGCTACAAGGCAGATGAGGGGATTCCCAAAACAAATCCAAGCTAACGTGCAGCAGGATCATTCAGCCCTTGAAAGCAAAGAACTGCATTGCCTTCAGGCCACTGGTTTCCAGGTAATCCCACCTCTGCAGCACACAGAAGCCTGCAGGGCTCTGCTGGCTCCCTGCTCACTTCCCCATGTATTTTGCTTTACAATGGCCCAAGCAGAGCCAAAAAGGAGGCTTTTTAGCTTCGTGCTCTGCTCCTCCACATGCAATTACATCAAAGCCCATTCCAGGCTCCTGTAGGATGAAT